ATCAATTTGTTGCATCACAAAGAAGAGGCTATAAAGTATTATAATTACTTTACAGTATTTACACCAGTAGTGATTATCTTTCAGAGAAACCCTTGTTAATATTATATTAATTTTTTTAATGTTAAAAAATAATGAAAGGTTCAGAGGTGCAATAGCTCAAAGAAATGTAATAGGTGTAGTAATGTCATGCAGTCCTGTGTGAGTGCTATGCATCTGCTTTAGAGCAGGCAAACCTGCCATGCCTACAGGTGTTTGCCTCAGGTCCCTGCCCTTGGGAAGTCTGAGAAAACCTACAAATGAAGGCAGAGCCCCTAGTAACCAAAATTACCCTATGGGACCATTGTAAAAGGGAGTAACTATTTTAGACCTGATGAACTGTTGAATAGTACACATATATAAGGAGTGGGATGGGTAGTGAGTGCCTCACATTGATATTTCTATGAATGTATGCTAAAAACAGATTCTAGAAGACCTAACCTTTTATTTCCAATTTTCCTCTCATTTTGAAATTTGCTTTTATATCCTTCATTTTTCTCTATTACTGTTTAAAATCTTACAGCTGTGGCAGAACTTTAGAGGATGCTATAGTAGTTTTGTTTCAAAACTAGTTGAAGAGAAAAATGGAAAAAGTAAAGCAACAAGGCAGTAACTGGTTATTTATTAAACCAAAGTTATCAAATGGTCAGTAATGGTAAGAATGGCAAATGTTATCCGTACTATCCAGTTATGTAGGAAATATAGATTTGTTCATTTATATATACATGGATTCATCCCATAACAATAAAATATGAACAATGCTCAGATGTTTTACTGTAGTACCTGTCATTCCTGTGTAACAAATTATCTTAAAAGCAATTTTCTATTAGATTGTGTATTTTCAAAAAAACACGTTGCATGATGAAATTTGCCAGCTGTATTAAGATTTTTCTGATCCTCTCAAAAATAAAAATTGATGTTTTGGAACAGTTCTTCAATTATCTTTAAAAACTATTTTTTCTTACTTTCCACTGTTTTCTGAATTTTTACTGTACCTTTTTAAACTATTTCCAAACAGTAGGAGTTATTGTTCTAAAGTCATGCTTCTAATAATGTTAAAATAGTATTGTTTCTGAGATTCATCTCCATGTTCTGAAGAGAAACCATATAAAAGCTGTTTGTAAAACTCATCCTATTATTTGAGTGCCAAGTTAAGTGACACAAGTGTATTGCTTCTGACTCACAGATAACTGTAATACAATCAAACAAAGCAGGGTGTTTTTGTTGTTCAGAAAACATTTGGCTCAGTGGTTTTGTTCCATTTCATATCAGAAATATCACCACCAATGAACACAATAACAATAATAACAAAAATAATTTTGGTTACCAATTTCCAATTAGTGTTAAAATTCAAGGAACCAACAAAAAGACTCTGTACTCTGAAGGCCAAGACAATCTCCTGAACACTGGTTTCCTCAGCTCCTGCTAATATCAATAATTAGTTTACGGTTAGATTAACTTAGGCTTTTAAATAACATTAATGATTTTAAAGCACTGGATGAATTCTCATGTTTCAGGGGATATGAACAAGTCCGTTCCCTTATATTTAAACAAAACACAATTTTGCCTTTTGCAGCTCTGCAAAGGTTATTGTTATTTACTATGCATCAATAAATAAACTTTCAATTATCTTGGTAAGCACATCCAAAAATAGCATGAGAATCAAAAGGCAATGGTGTATCCAGTAATTGTTCCAAATAGATAATTTTGATAAATACGATCTTTGCTTAATTTCAAGTGAAAAAGAAATCTTATGAAATTTAGTTTTGCTCGAGTTAAACTATGCAAAAATACCCTATGAAATGGACACTCTATTTTATTTAAACTGTATACTACTGTCTTTTACAGTGATTATAACTTATTAAAATCATTTTTGCCTTTCTTTTATGAATAATACATTTACAAGAAAACATTATTTAAGCGAATACACATGGGGGGTTCCCACCTCCCATGTTTTTAAAAAAAAATTGAGCAGTTTCATTTGAGTTAAAAAGTATATTTCTTCATAATGTTTGTTATGTATGTTTATTAACTTATGCCAACAATGGCTTAGCTCAGCGAACTGAAAGGAAGACATCCTTTAACTTATGTGTGCGTACGTATGTGTGTGTGTTGTGCTAAATTCTATTGCCTGTACTTCTTAATTATTTGTTGAGCCCTTTAAGACTTTTTTTTCATGTTTTTCTGTATCAAACTAATCACATTTATACTCACAGCATATGTGTGTTCTTATTTTCTCTACTCTGTATTTTAATAATATTTTAAAGGAAAAAACCTTAATAGAAATTCCCTAGAAATAATTTACAGGACTAATGAATTTGTAGGTCTCTTAGACAGTTCTATATTACAGTCACATTAATATTCTCTCCTCTTTATAAGGCTTGAAGTAAATCCCATGACACTAGAAGAATTTAGATACTGATTACTTGCGATTGGTTCCTGGTGATTTGCTCTTAATAATTTC